AAAAAAAAAAAAAAAAAAAATCATTAACATAACCACTTGCCAGAAACTGTGCTAGGCACCATGGATTCAGAGTGGAATCAGACATACGATGTTTGTAAGGACACAATAGACAAAGTCATGTTAATAAACGTGTACAATGTAGGGGCTATGGCTACATGAAGAGCGGGGTAGGCAGTCCAGGAAGGCTTCTCACAGGAGGTGACATTCAAGCTGGCTCTTGAAGTATATACTGATCAAGAAAAGCATATTCCCGGGAAAACAAAGCAGCATATGCAAAGAGAGGAAACCTAATTCTTCTCCACATTAATACTAAATTGTCAAAGTGATTTTCATATTCTTTCCCTTTTTCCTTTCGTCCTTCCTTTTTGTTCCTATAGCTGATCCATTGTTCACAGACACTCTAATCAGGGTTCACAAATATATGGCACCTGTGTCACCACTCTCTCTCCTCTCATGGCAGATATCGATAACTGAACCCAGAATTCTTTCCTTAAAGAGTCTACGCAACACTAGGTTCTGTGATTAACGGAAATAATACAGAAATTAATAGCCAAGTATTAATAATAAAAACGAGTATGTACAAGAAACTTGCTGGCCACATTCCTACTTTGTCTGGGCCAAGACTTGGAAAGGATATCCAGGGGTGTAGAGCAGAGAAGACAGGTTCTAAAATGTTAGCCCGAAAGTAGAATCACCTGGGTTTTTAAGCAGCCCTGGGGCACAGCGGTTAAGAGCTCAGGCTGCTAACTAAAAGATTGGCAGTTTGAACCCACCAGCTGCTCCTTAGAAACCCCATGGGGCAATTCTACTCTGTCCTATAGGGTTGCTATGAGTCGGAATCAACTCGATGGCAACGGGTTTGGATACGGGTTTGTGGTTTTTAAAAACTTCACCTCTCAGGTCACATCCCAGACTGATTCAATCCCATTCTCTAGGGTGGGAGACAGACTTCAGTATTTTTCAAAGCTCCCCAAGTAATCCCAGTGTGCACACAAGTTTGAGAATGACTGCCCTAGGGATCTTTGTAAGAGCCAAATTCACTAAGATCTTAAAAGTGCTGCAGAGGTGACAAAATTGCACTTCTGGGAAGAGCGTTTTCCAGGTCAGAGGGAGGCCTCATCTCTGCACTGCAGCCAGGCCTTATGCAGACAACAGACCCGAGGGGCCTGGCCAAAGAGCAAGTCCCCATCACCGGGGTGGAGAGAACCACAGAGCCAGACAAGAGAGCTGGGTCAATAAAGCTGAGCCAAACAGCTGCCCTCAAGCATTTTTTTTTTTTTTTAATCAGTTTCCATGGCCTGATGCCAAATCTATTTAGAAATGGTCATTTCTCATTTCATTTCTTTCTACTTTTTAGAAATAGGATAAAGCTTTTGAAGCAATCAGCATAACAACTCAGCTCTTTCAAGGTATTACATTTGCATACAGCAAAAAAGAAAAAAAAAAAAGCCAGGTAGGTAAAAATCAATGGAAAGCTATTATGCTGTACTGAAATGAACATGCCTGCGTAAACAGAATACTGGGTAACACTACCATTTATGCAAAAGTCATTTTGACAACATTATGCTTATTTAAAGTAATTAGAGTTTGGGGTTAGAATTGAGTACAGAAAACATTGCTTTGAAAGCAGAGCCAATATCAATCCTATTCTCTTTGCAAAATAAGAAAAATCTTACCGCTTATTTACACTACAATGGCTTAAAATCTTAAGGGAAAGTCTTCAACGATTACTTTCATTCAGAATTTGAAAATTTCTCTCATGGGAGGAAACGTAAAAGGAAAAAGTTTCCAACATCTTTCTATGCCTTAAAGTACTCTGAAACTTTGAACGTAAAAACATATTTGTACTGATACAGTCCTGTGAAATGAAGACCCATTCAGGAATGTAATGAAGTTTAAAGTAGTTCCTCTTTTCCTGCATTGGGAACAATTTTACTGACTTAGAAACTTCTAGTTGGGGGAAGGAAAAAGGGGAAGCAGAAGAGAGAAACAGATGATCCGTGACCTAGTGCTGATCCTTAGCTGCCTTCAATAGACAGAAGATTGAGGATTTCTATGGTCAAAACAAAAGTAATAAAGTGGAAAATGATTTTCTAAAATCCACACACATCACTAAAATTTATCTACATTATTCCAGACAAAGTAATTTTACACGAGGAAGTTCAATTTCAAAGGACTTTCATTTCTTTTCCAACTCTGAACAGAAAACAAACAGGCCCAACCCAAATCCAGTTTATAGCTTCAGAATATTTAAATGATCCAAACAATGCGAATAAGCCATATCCATGCCCATTGTTTGTCCTTGCAAGTTCAGTTGAAGCAATACCCCCAAGCAACAAAGAAGTGATAGCAAGGGCAGCCAGCAGCTGCTCAGCCGTTATCAAGCAAAACCTGTCCTTCCTGTCCATTGTCGTCAAAGACCATGAGTGCTGCCTGTGGCTGTTTCTGCCTTAGTCAAACCCAGTTTACTAGCCTCAAAAGTGTCCTAAAGTAACCTAAGCCTCATTAAGACCTAATTGAATATTAAGATCTCCGCGCAGGATGGGACTTACCTGCCATTTTGTACACACTAAGGGAAGAAAATGCAATTTGTCTTACTGCGCCTGCGCACTATAACTTATAGCCCATGATGTTTGTACTTCCTCATGAAGGACGGTATAAACGGTTCTGCCTCCCTTTGTTTGGGAGCTTGATTCCTTGCTCCTTGCCTGTGCACTTGCAATAAAAGCTCTTCCTCCCTCCTCACCTTGGTGTGTCTTTATTGACGAGAAGCCGCACTGGGTAGGACCTGCTTCGGGTAACAGAAGGAGCTGGACAAATTCAGTTCCCAATATATATGTAAGGCCCATCTAACCTGCAATCTTCCTGGTGGGACAAGTGCTGGCAGAGGTGGGGTGTCGCCTTTTCCAACCTATTAGAGCAGCAGTTCCCAAGTGTGGTCCCAGACTGAGAACTGGTTAGAAATGCAAAGTCTCAAGCCCCACCTTAGCCCCACTGAATGAGAAACAATAAGGGTGGGCCCAGGAACCTGAGTTTTAACGAGCCATACAGGTGATTCTGATGCATGCTAAATTTGAGAACCACTGTGTTAGAACACAGAACGTCATTAATGATGTCAGAGAATCAAGGTGTCACTGTGTTAAGAAGTTAATTACACAAGGACGAACCAAGCTAAACTTTCTTCCAAGTAGCCAAAACAATAAGCTGATGTATTAAGACCATGGAGTTATAATTTAGAAAATATTATGACATCAAATCTGTCTGTGGCTTAATGTATGAGGAAAAGCTTTCTTTCAGCAACTCTGTAATTATTCCCCAAAATAAGATTTTAATGAATTATTGTGTCCTTTGAAGGCAATGGATAGAGAAAAGTAATGTAAGTGGCACTGTTACAAGAAAAGTAGGGGCAATCCCAAAACTACACCATCACCGAAGAAAGAGGCCCAAGTAGTTTCATGGACCCCACTGTTATAACTCCCTCCCCACTATTTTCCAGGATTGCAATCAGCCACAAGCCAGCTCATATTGTCTGACTGTAGAGTGAGGTTGAACATGTGCATGCACAGTCAAGATGGGGATGAAAATAACAGTCAAGAAAAACATTTTCCCTATGTTTCATGATCTTTTTTATTTAACATATATAGTACATGTAAACAACTGGCATAAAATCCACAAAAATACAATCCTCTTATGCAATGTCACCTTATTCCTAATGCATCTTTTCAGTCTCTCTCTAATGTCATTGGCCTGCTTTACACCACCACACTCTCCTTGCCAAGTCTGTTTAGAGGCTTGTCTTTTTATAGAAATACTGCCCCAACTTTGTTTTCCAAATGTCACAGCAGTAAAAGCTATTCCTATCACTTCCTTGCCCATCCTAACTTTCCTCACACTAAAGCAAAAATATTCTTAAATGCTAAAAATACATAAAATACTGAGGCTGAATACTGTTTTGTCATGTATATTGAGCCTACTTCTATTCCATGTTGCCATAAAAGATACTTATAGTCCACAGCACCAGCTGCCACCAGATAGGATCCAGGCTGAGGGTGCAGTTCACCCACCCAGGCCTCAGTTCCAAACAGAGTTGCCTAAAATATCATCAGAGCTTGCTGGTGGAGTTATATTAATACTGTTACAAAAAGATTCTTCTCAAAAAAAAAAGACAACTTCTAACTTTCCCAGCATATGAAACAGTTATAACAGTATTTTAACGTTTTTTTTCCTGTACAGAATTCCATTGATGACATGTGAACTTATTAGGAAGGGGATTATTGGAGGGTGGGAAGAATGGAGAATAACTTTAAAAGTATGATTTAAAAAAAAAAAAATTCTAAGTGCTGGGTGAACTCAATCAGCCACATTTGGGTGAGAACAGCTGCTGATAAAGGCAAGCACAGTCCTACTTATCCCCACCACAGCTATGGACGAACACGGAGGACGGTGGGAGAGAGTCCCTCCTATCCTCCCTCAGCCTCAGTGCCCTCTTGCCATTTTGATGGATTGCTGCACTGCTGCTCAAAATTTTTTCTCCTAATCTACAACTCCCCAGCTGCTTCCTATTTTCTGAAACGAGCGAAAGCCTAAGAAATCAACCAGTAGACCAGCAAATGAAAGAGTGACAGGGAATCTGGAGAACAAAGGTAGCATCTCCCCAGCTGACTCTAGGGAAGGAGACCCGGCTCTGGGGACAGGGGATGCTCCACACCAAGGGAACACCCCTCAGCTGGATGTGCTGTCTTTCAGCTTCCTAACATAAGAAAGCTAGTGCTTCCCCCTGACCAGGCTCGTCCTTCGGCTCTGGTAAGAAGGCAGAAAGAGAACAGATCTTCAGTGGCTCCCAGGAGTGGGCACCGGAAACCAGTCCTGAGGACTCAGGGCTCAAGGACAATCCACAGTGAGGTTAATCTGCCTGTAGTTAATAAAGAGAACACTGTGTAATTAAATAGTGTAGTCAGCCATAGTCATGGTTTGCTCAGAATTTAAAATCTTAAAATGGTTTCTCAGAATTATGAGAATTTACCATACTGAAGAATCTCATTTCACACAAATTAACTTCTAAGAAACGAAAATTCATACAAGGAATTCAAAGCAGGTTTTGAAATTTTTCAAAATAAAGAGGAAGGCTGAATATGCTCACTCCTCATATGGTGAAATGATGGTTTTCTGAACCAAATTTATAACATTACGTTTTTGTCTCATTAAAGATGGGACATTTATTTAAAAGTAAAATATAAACACTTCATTTATCATTATTCATTTAGTTTTTTGACAGAAAAATTAGTCATGTTTTATTGTATCTTAATAGTAAAAGAAAAATTACCACATACTACAGCCTACTGTTCCACTGTAAATTATGTCTACTCAAATACACATTAGTTTCTAAATGCATTATATTTGTAGGTGTTCAAAATTGGTTTTCTTAAAATGACAATTAAACATAAAAAATTTTAAAAGTGATTTAACAGTTAAAATATAAAAATTTGAATAATACTAAAAATGAGAAAAACAGAGTTGCCACTGAAAAATTTTTTTTAACAAAAAATAAGTACTTCGTAAGTAACTAAATGAGTAAATAGCACTTATCTGACGAAGACTGTCGGAAGGAGACAGAGAGAAGACACACTAATGCTGCACAGTTAATAGTTAAAGGAATTTGTCCAAACCACTAGACCAGAAGTTTGGATTAATAATGGGTAGGAAATGTTTCATTAACAAGGACAACAGAAAACAAAAAGAACCTAAAGAAGTGAAATAAACAGGTAATTCCACATAACAAACACCCACGTCTATGCCCCATCTACTCTTACTCAAGCTGATGACCGGGGCTGACATGACTGACAAGCTTACAATAATTATTGAAATATCCAAAACAATAGCAAGAGGCAGAAGCAGCAGCAAGGGGTGTCCATAGCCATGAACTGTAAAATCAGCCCCTACACAGTTCAGAATGGACTGTATTATCATCCTTGCCATATTTCTTTTATACAGGTAGCTTTGCTCATTTAAGCACAAATATTTAAGTCGTACAAGCACATACTCATTTGCATAGCAAATTTTAAGGGATGCAATGAAATAATAACCAATTGATAAGGTATAAGTACTTTTTAACAATCAGAATGGTATTCAAATTCACCAAATAAAACGTTTTCTATTTGAAAACAGTTATCTATAAAAGTTTTTGTGATCTGAATTAAAAACAGTGTATGACTTATTAGCAAAATGCTAAAACCATTACTGATGGAGCTCTGTGCAGGCAGCAGTTCCAGTAGCAGTCATTCTTTTATAACTTCTAAGACTTTGTAAACACTGTTCTGGAACACAGTGGTGAAGTGAGGCCTTGACTCCTTCACCAAGAGGTTACATAAGGGAGTCTTCCCGGCATTAGCAGGATCTTCTACGTCCCAAATTTCAGGCATGCTGCAACCAGGCCTAGAAAAATCAATACATAGATTAAAAAAAAAAAAATCAAAGTACATTATATAACCTTATTCCTGACCTAATTTCATTTGTCCTACTTAAATAAACATAGTTTAAAAAAATCCTATCATAGTTATTTATATTTTGTAAGATGCCATAAATCCTCTTTAGAACAAGGTAAATGCAGCAAGGGTGACTATAGAGAAAAAAACATACCTACAAAATACATGAATGCAGGTGTTGGGGTAAAAGAGGTCTGGGTTAAATTCTGCATCTGCTGCTTTCCAACAATGGGGTGGTGGATAGTAACTTCATTCAGCCTCAGTTGCCACATTTGTGAAACGGAGAAATACCCATGACATAGGTTTATTATGAGGAGTAAGAGACACAATGTCTCTAGCACAGTGTCCAACACATAGTAAGGGATTATAATATATTGATTCTTAAAATTATAATTGGGAAGTATGCTTAGTTCACAGGGAAGTTAAATTAATTATGTTCTAGAATGAGTCAATTTAAAGAAATCCTAAGCTCACCTCCTGGCCAAAATGTGTAATTAAATCTCAAAAGCAATATATATGAAATTGGTATCGTGTGATATTTGCCTAAATAAGTCCTTCAAAATAACTGCAACATTTATTTTAAATCAAGTACAGTTTTTTAAACTATAACTTCGATTTTGCTGGAGTTTACACTTTCTTATTTGCTTTTTTAACAAATTTAAAAACACACAAGAAAAACAGAGAATCAACAACTGCTTATGCTTTGTCATAGTTGCTTTACTTTCTTTTTTAATAATAATAAACAGCATTTCCAACAAGTCTCTTTTATCCTCAGTCACAGTCCCACTACCCCAGCCCTCCACCAGGAGGCAAGAACTCCAGCAGAAATGTACATGCTTTTTTAAAAACAACATATTTAATTTAAAACTAATTGATCATTGTAAAAGTCTCAAAATACAGACCTAAACAGAGTAAAAAAATTAAAGTCATCCTCACCTCCAATACCATTTCTCAGAGGTGACATCTGAAACAATCCAGCATATATCCCGCTAGACCTACTTTACCCATCTTCAGATGCACATGCATACAGACACATCTGTAAATAAAATGCTGTGTGGCTTTCACAAAAATGAGATTATTCTGGAACACTTCTTAACCATAAAATGTGGCCATTTTTCCACCTCAGTACATAAAGACCTACTTTATTCTTTTAAACAGTTGCTAGTACTCCTAAAAAACAACAACAAAGCCGTTGCTGTCTGAGTCCATTCCAACCCACGATGACTGCATGTGTTACAGAGTAGAACTGTGATCCATAGGGTTTTTTTGGCTGTAATCATTAGGGAAGTAGAACGCCAGGTATTTTTTCAGAGGCACCGCTGGGTGGGTTCAAACCTCCAACCTTTCTGTTAGTTGTTGAGTGCCAACTGTCTATGCCACACAGAGACCATTCCTTTACAGATTTTATTTCCCATTTTGCCATTACAAAATGATGCAGTTATAAACATTCTTGGGCCTATATCCTTTCTGCAAGCTAACTTTCTAGAAGCGACACTATAGTTCTGTCAAAGGCTGACACAGTTTTTTACTTTGCCTCCATCACATTACATCCCCCAAAAGGTTCTACTAATGTGTGTTCAAACGGTGCCCTGGTGGTACACTGGTTAAGGGCTCGGCTGCTAACTAAAAGGTCGGCAGTTAGAATCCACCGGCTGCTCCTTGGAAACTCTACGGGGCAGTTCTACTCTGTCCTATACAGTTGCTATGAGTCGGAATCGACTCCACGGCAATGGGTAATGAGTGCTCCCACAAAGAGTGTTTGAGTGCACTTTTTTGCACACCCTCAGCAACATGAGATCCTACCAACACTGAACATGAAAGACAAGCTGACTGGACTCATGCTTTCTACCTTTTACTTTTCTCACACACATCAAGGCCAAACAATACCCTTGGCCAGTGGTAGTGGGAATGAGACTATAAGAAGGAGAATACTACCCGGCTCCTGAGTTCAACCTCTTTTAAGAAAAGCAGAGGACAAAAAGCTGCCTTTATGCACTCTCTCTGCCTGAGGGCAGCATCCTTTAGTCCTTATCTGAGTATCCTAAGGTTTCCCCGGGTCAGCCAGCTACATCTTTAAATAGCAGTACCCTACTGAAATGTGAATCATTTTCTTCTGAAAACAAGTATTTCAAGTTTATGTCAACTCTATTATTGAAACTAATGAAAAAAAGTATAGAACTGAGAATAAAAAAGTAGTTAGTAAAAAATTTGTCTCCAACCTGCATTTGAGTGTTTTGGTACCTGTATTTGGGCACAGGGTATCAAATTTTTAAGGACTAATCAAGCCACACGATTAAGGCACCTGTCAATGAGCTCACATAACTAAAGTGCTCACCACCAGGCTGGGCACAGATGAAGCGCTAGATAAATATTAGTCCCCTTTCCCTTTCCTCGCCCATCTGATTTCCCCATTTGTTTCCCTGCAAGAGCAGATGGCACAGCTTCTGTTTTGTGTCCAGGTTTAAGGTGAGTGGACTTGTCTAATGTTTGAGATTTATCATCAGTCTGGCTTAAATCTTGTAGTAGTAGATGGAGAGTGTTGTTTTAGTTACTGAGTGGGGAAAACAGATGGGAGAAAGCTACTTTCTTAGCTTCCTCTGGTTCAACTCTTGCTGGGACAGACACAACAATGGCAAGTCAAGGTCATGTGGGAGAATCAGACACACACTCCACCCACCCCAAGCTCTCAGTTTAAGTGTCTAAAAGCTAGCTCTACAAGGAGACAATCTGAAGCCAGTTAATTGGCTGCTGGCTTTGTTTAGTGTGCACAATTTCACTGCCGTACTTCCTCAATTTGTCTTTACATCCCTTCTTGTCCACAAAACAGCACTCTGCTTATGAGAGCATGAGATGACTCCAGTAATCAAATCCAAGGAGCTCTACAAACATCTTAGAACACAAAACAACCCAGCCTTTGCTATCTTCATATATTCAAAACACTATGCAGCAACTAGGAAAAAAACGAAGACTCTTGAATCAAGATTCATTGTTAGCTTGGAGAGGAAAACAGGCTATGAAAATTATGTTTACGTCTCAGTAACCTACAGGTGTCTCAGATTGTCGTAACTGAATTGAAGAGTGGAGCCCAAAGCAAGAAAGAAGATCCCAATTCTGGTAAAAATCTCTGCCAAGAAACTGAGATCAATGTCAGCCCACCATTCATTTACTAGGATGTCTTCATAAAATTGTTGTAAGAGATGCTTATGACTTTTTGGTCTTAAATTTATATAACATAAAGTTAATTAAAGCCAAGTATATATATTTCATATATATTCTTATTTTCTAAACTATCGGAACAATAATCTTTCCTATAAATGCTGATTAAAATCAGTTCACTTGGCATATATTCATAGAAAATCATTCAACAATAAGCAATTATTTAAGTTTCCTTGTGGAAAAAGATATGTAGATGCTATATTGCAAAATTATTTTCACTTATGAGTCAATACTGGACAGTTTTGTCATAATAACCTTGCATATCACTGAAATGTATGGTGAAAAAGCCACAGCTATATCAATCTTCTGTTTAATAACAGAGTAATGAGAATTTTAAAAATAATAGTATTCCATAAAATAGCATTCACTTCTGATGAAACCGCTTCTCATGCTCTTCATCAAGTGAATGCCTTCATACTTTAATAGGTGAGAACTGATGAATGTCACAGCAGGCTACTGTCATTCGCTGTCCAGCCACCCATGAGCACCATCATTTCTAAACAGTCAACGTTGGAATTCATATTTTTTCTCAAAATCTTACTGACACTTGTAGCTATACCCTGCTTAATGAACCTCTCTGTATAAACAGATAGGTTTTTTAATGTTAACCATCAGAATCTGGGTCACAGTGACGTTAATTATTTTCCAACTAAAATAAGATGTGAAACAGCAAGAAAGGAAAGCTTCATTTCAAGTTGAGCTGAGAGGGGTCGCATCTACCCACAGGATGTGGTGTGGACTGAAATCGGTGTGGACAGTGGAGGCCCTGACTCCTCAGTTGATTGACTACTTCATTACAATGAGATAATTATATTATCTTGTTTGAGACTCTGGGAGCCTTTTGAAAGACAACAGATCTACCTTTGATAATAGTTTTATCCAAGGTAAATATGAGTAATTTCAGAGATCATCATGTCAATACAATCTCTTTAAGGTACATGCAAATCAGTATAAAAGAAACAGATACTTATAATGAACAGAAAAGAAAAAGCTCATTCAAATATTTATCTAAGAAAGGTTTTCCACTTACACTTTGTAAAATGTTATGCGCATTTCACACATGCCACCAAGGCACTTGTCATGAAACTCAATTAACTTTTCATGCTCTATGAAAATAAAACACTGTGTTGAATACTCACTTAGATCTTCTTACACACCATGACTCTTCTAGAATGTAATAATTGACTTTTAACTTGATCAACTGTTGCTTCACTTCTTCAGCTGCTTTTCGACTATACATTGAGTATACTATCTTTGTTCTGGCCCTTTAAAAAAAACAGTTGGGTAGAAGAGTTTCAAGATTAAAAAGGATACAATCAACATATTTGGAAGAAAGCACTAAATGTGACTAGAAGAAAGACTATACAGAAGAATTGGGTCAAGAGAAAATGCTTTGCAGGAATTCATGTTAAGGGATGTAGGATACACAATTAACTTTACCAAAGAATTTGGTCTTTGTCCTTGGTTCCTGAGAGATAACCTCTAAACTCTTAGAATTTCTGGAATGGTTGGAGTATCTTTGTTCTCTGGACCACACCTGACAGGTTATGCTAGTGATGTGACACTTGGGTGGGGCTGGCCAGGCCAGAAAGATCCCCCACGTGATGTCAGCCCAGCCTCAGGGGAGGGAGGTGAACATGAGATTGAGTTCGATCAGTCAATCATGCCTATGTAATGAGATTCCAATAAAAACTCTGGACACAGAAGCTCAGTGAGCTTCCTGGTTGGTGAGCAGCATCAATGTTTTAGAGGCTGGCACGTCCCTTTGTGGGACACGGAAGCTTTGTACCAGGAACTCTCCCAGACTTCGACCTGGACATCCTTTCATTTGAATCCTTTTTGCTATAATTAAACTGTAATAGGAAGTATAGTGCTTTCCTGAGTTCTGAGAATCATTCTACTGAATTACTGAACCCAAGGAGGTAATGAGAACCCCCAAATTTGTAGTGAAAGTGTCAGAAGTGAGGAGGGCCTGGGGACTCCAGAACTGACGGCTGGCATCTGAAATCCTGGGTAAATGTGGCAGTCTGGAGGACTGTGCACTTTAACTTGTAAGATCTGACCTAGTTCTTGTGGTTAGGGTCAGAGAAGAAGAACTACATCTGCAGCTGGTATGAGAGGATATTTAGAGTTAGAGCTGGCCTCAGAGAAGACACAGACAGACAATATAGGGGCATCGGAGAAGTCAAAAGACAAAGCAAAGGCAGGTGTAGCATACGGAGTCCAAGGGGAAGAAGCTTGGTTTTAAATGCATTCCTATGTTTCCAAAACTAGTCTTTTTTTGTTTGTTTTTATTTTTAAATTCGTCATCATTCTATCACAAATAAGAGTAAGATACCCTGTGTGTGGACACAGGGACAGATTACCCAATAAACAAGGCATGCACCAGTTTACCTGCACTTACTTTCTGATCTGTAGTGCACAATTTCATGTCTTTGATGTGGTGAAACCCATGTAAAATTGTAAACTGCTCACTACAGATTCGTAAATAAACATAAATATGCCCGTGCGTAGCTTGCTTACTGGTTAATCCGCTCCTGGTGGACAGTGCTGAGCTATACAAACACAACTACAGACCTAGTCTGAAGCTGCAACAGTTCGATCTTTTATACCAACAATAATTAGCATTAAATGGTTCTCCATGTTATTTCTAGATTTAAAAAAACTAAACTTACTTCAACAAGATCACTCTGGAAATTAGCTTCCTAAAACTGATTATTTTTTTAAATGAAGAAGCTAAAGCTTTTTATTTATAAAATGTAGACCCCAGTTATGCAAAAAAAAATCAATAGGATTCACCCAATCACTTAACAAATGAATAGCTTTAACTACCCTAGAAATTACATGAAAATTAAATCTATTTCCTCTTGCAAGAGGACATGAGACTCTAAATTAGGAAAATATAGTAATTCTCAAAAATAAAATAAACAAGGCATTTTTTAAAACAAGGTATGCCGCCAGTAATGGCAATTTACACTTTATTACTTAAAAATAAAAGATTGCTATGTACACATAAAAGAATGACAAAAATAATATAGTCATATCTAACAATAACCACTCCTCCCAACCAACACACATATATATACACCCATACCCTAAACTGAGTAGTTTTTTCTGATTACTGTTACGTTTGCTGTGCACACTTCAATTCTGCCACCAGTTCGAAGATATTCTGACCTTCCTCCATGTGATCAACTGTAGGAAATGCTCAGCCCATAACAATTACCTATATAATCTATGCAAGCAAGATGCAATTTCTCTTAGGCAGCAACACAAAATCAAATAAATTTGTCATCCAAGTTCTAAAAAACAAGAGTTTCTGTATTTCTCAGTTTCAGGCTTGACTTCTACTATTAACTGAAATTCTTTTTAGAGAAAATAAAACCTACTCTCTTAATTTACTGTGATAGAAATTGTTGGAAGCACAAAGATAGATCAGACATGGAACTTAAACCAAGAGGTGAGAGTAAAAGTAATTCCAAAGGAAGCCCCAATATTTAAGGCAAGGATTTAGCTATTCTATTTAATACAATCTCCCACTTCTCCACGTACTTCATATAATCCAGTGTTTAAGATGCAAGCTGTTGGTCTTTTTATATTGTAAATCTTATGAATCAAGAGTAATTTTCATTGTTTGCATTTATTTCTATAATTAGACGTACAATAATGATTTAGAATTATTTCCCATTTTGGTTTCTGATAATGGTCTCAGCGCATTTATACTATAGTTTGGCCTTCGTTTTACTTCATCGATAGATCAGACAGGGTTCATCTTTAAGAAAAGTACATGAGTAGAATATTTGTTGAGCACTGGCAATTCCAAGAACATCTTGTTGATGTTTTTATGCACAAAAAGTAAACTTAATTAGATTTAAAACATTCTTCATCCACAAGCCTTTAAACTTAATACACTGTAAACATCGCTCCTGATGGCATTTTATTGATGCGGCTCACTTCAACTGCTTTTGGTACTTTGTAGGTACATATTTGTAGGTAGACCTTCTTTAGTCTATAATTCAAAGAGTTCATCATGCTATGTCTATGCGAGAGTCACTTTTTAACATTTTTATCCTAAAATGAGCTCCATCAATCTGTTTTCACAAATGTTTGTTTAATCTCAGAAATCTTTCTTTCACTTTATCTCTGATTATATCCTCTTTTCTAGCTATTATATCATTATATTTTTGTCCTTTCCGTTACAGCAGCACTAGATGACCAAGACATTGTACTTTTTAAATAAATTTTAATTTCAGAATAATTTTAGATTTATAGAAAAATACTGCAGAGAGTTCTTGCATACCTGCACCTAGTTTCCCCTCCTGTTAACATCTTACATTACTATGGTACATTTGTCACAACAAATTAACCAATATGCTTGGACATCGTGCTTGGTAAAGTAGAGAGTCAGTGAAAAAGAGGCAGACCCTCAACAAGACGGACTGACACAGTGGCTTCAGCAATGGGCTCAAGCATAACAATTGTGATGACGAAGCAGGACTGGGCAGTGTTTTATTCTGTTGTACACAGGGTTGCTACGAGTCAGAACCAACTCTACGGCACCTAACAACAACATCATTAGCTAAACTTCATACTTCATTCAAATTTTAAAGGACTTCCCTATTGTCCTTTTTATGTTCCAGGATCCCAACCAGGATACCACATTACATTTAGCTGTCTTTTTAGGCTCCGCTTGGCTGTGACAGTTTTTCAGACTTTCCTTATTTTTTATAACCTTGATAGTTTTAAGGAGTACTGGTCAGGTATTGGGACCCTGGTGGCGCAGTGGTTAAGAGCTCAGCTACTAACTAAAAGGTCAGCAGTTCAAATCCACCAGCCGCTCCTTGGAAACCCTATGGGGCAGTTCCACTCTGTCCTATAGGGCTGCTATGAGTTGGAATCGGCTTCATGGCACCGGGATTAGTGTTGTTTTGTTTTTTTTTTTTTGGTTTTGGTTAGGTATTTTGTAGAATGTCACTTAATTGGGATTTTTTAAAAAAAATTTTTTAATTGACCATTGGCCAAACTGACAAAAGAAAATCAGGAGAGGAAGCAGATAACCCATATACGAAATGAGATGGGTGATATCACAACAGACACAACTGAAATTAAAAGAATCATAACAGATTACTATGAAAAATTGTACTCTGACAAATTTGAAAACCTAGAGGAAATGGACAAATTTCCAGAAACTCACTACCTACCTAAATTAACACAAACAAAGGTAGAACAACTAAACAAACCCTTAACAAAAGAAGAGATAGAAAAGGTTATTAAAAAACTGACAACAAAAAAAAGCCCTGGCCCGGATGGCTTCACTGGAGAATTCTACCAAACTTTCAGAGAAGAGATAACACCCATTCTACTAAAGGTACTTCAGAGCATAGAAACGGATGGAATACTCCCAAACTCATTCTATAAAGCCAGCATAACGCTGATACCAAAACCAAGTAAAGACACCACAAAAAAGAAAATTACAGACCAACTTCCCTCATGAACATTGATGCAAAAATCTTCAACAAAATTTTAGCCAATAGAATTCAGCAACATATCAAAAAAAAAAATTCACCATGACCAAGTGGGATTTATACCAGGTATGCAGGGATGGTTCAACATTAGAAAAACAATCAACGTAATCCATCACATAAATAAAACAAAAGACAAGAACCAAATGATCTTATCAATCGATGCAGAAAAGGCATTGACAAAGTCCAACACCCATTCATTATAAAAACTCTCAATAAAATAGGAATAGCAGGGAAATTCCTCAGTATAATTAAGGGCATTTATACAAAATCAACAGCAAACATCATCCTAAATGGAGAGACTTTAAAAGCATTCCCCTTGAGAACAGGAACCAGACAAGGATGCCCTCTATTACCACTATTATTCAACACTGTGCTGCAGGTCCTAGCCAGAGCTGTTAGGCTAGAAAAAGAAATACAGGGCATCCAAATAGGTAGGGAAGAAGTCAAAGTATCTCTATTTGCAGATGATATGATCTTATACACAGAAAACCCCAAAGAATCCACACGAAAACTACTGGAACTAATAGAAGATTTCAGCTAAGTTTCAGGACACAAGATAAACATACAAAAATCTGTTGGATTCCTTTACCCCAACAAAAAGAACCTCGAAGACGAAATCACCAAATCAATACCATTTACAATAGCCCCCAAGAAGAGAAAATACTTAGGAATAAATCTAACCAGAGATGTAAAAGATCTTTACAGAGAAAACTACAAGACACTACTGCAAGAAACCAAAA